TGTCAAATTTCCCTTGCTGACCCTTCCTATATACTGCGAGTCTAATAACAATGAAAAAAATAAGAGCAATAGTTTTCCTTACCAATGGAGGCATGTTATTATGCACATATATGATCATACTCAAAACCTAAAATGAAGGGGAAAAAAAATCAAATGCCTCTCAAGTGCCTTTTTAATTTATAAATGCTTAAACATAGGCGTTTTGCATTTTTCACTTTACAATTCAAATGTATTCTAAATAGCATAGAATAAATAAGGAAAAAGAAAAAGAAAAAGAAATCAATACGTGGAAAATATCTTCCTAATCCTACCAATTATTTTGTTCTTGGATCATTTCTATTCCATCTATCCTTAATTGAAACCTCAAAAAAAAAAAAAATTCAAGTGAAAGAAAGATTTGACCGAAAATAAAAGCAGCGCTTGAGAAGAAGAAACTTATCATCTGGAATTGTCAAACCTAATTCTTGTTGGAAAGCCAATTTCTTGAAGAAGGTGGCATTCAAAAACTTCGTATTAAAATTGATAACTACAGAAGAAAAACAAAAACAAAAACGAAGAACAACATTCAAAACTGAAACCAAAACTAACCAAAAACAGGACTGAAGAGATTTAACTATCCCAGCCTATGAACCACATGATCAAAGGGGAAATTAAATTCTTGTAAAATGAATTCTTGAGGGAAGAACTTCCATAAAGTTTCAAGAAAAAAAAATTATCTAATCAAATAATAACTATTCTTGAATCATTTCCTTGTAGACAAAGATAACAACACTATTCCAAGGTTCAAGAGGCTACAATATACAAGAAAAAGGAAGAAATTTAATCAAAACAATTTATGATAGAAATATATTGCAATTAAACTCATATGTTATGGCATGGCAGGGTATCTTTTTTTTTTTTATGGTGAAGCCCATCTACGCCATTGTAACCAATGGTGCACCTAAAGACCAAAACAACTAACTTCCAAATTCCTTCAAAAGTATAAATTCTATAGCTCCAGGCATCCTATGATAATTGCAAATGTATGAAATGAGTAGCTAATAGTTTTTCAACTGTTAAACATGTATCAATACTTGCAACAACCTTCAAATCTTTTGACTAAATAAGACTAAAAATGAAAAGAAAACGGTACAATGACATCAATAGCATCCATCAAAAGTCGACGAAGAAATAGAAATTACCCAAAGGAGACTTGCATCCTATATTCTTGATCAAGTGTAACTCCTCCAGACCATTGTTCATCAAGTATTTGTTTGGGAAAAAACATAAATTTTCAAACTCATGATTTCCTAGGTTGGCATTTGTTGAAGCCGGTACACTATACTTCTTAAATTCCATCCATGGCAAATCTTGAGTGCAAGGCGAAGTATTGTTTCATGGCTCAAAACTATTACACCTACGGCAAAGTGTAATTGTCATATGAAAATACCAATATACACAAAATGCGTTAGGCAAAATTCTGTTTATAATTAAGTCAGAGAACAGTCAAAATAAATCAAAGTTTAAAAAACTAATGAAAATCTGCTAAACTCCTAAGGAGCCGGATTGAGCTATCTAAATTGATTAGAGAACTTATCTCATATTTCATACCAATATAAAATTCCGAAAATATGTAATGAAAAAAAGAGGAGACTTTTGATTACTAAAATATGTGTTGCAAAATTCAACATTTGACGAATTACCTGAGAGCTTTATCGAGTCACCGGGCCTTTTTGATTTAACAAGAGAAGATTCTGGCAAAGGAAAATCTGCTCCAAATCGGCAGTCGAATCGGCTTTTATCCATATATCAACAAAACCGATGAGCAGCCCCTTCCATCCCTTCACTTCTTCCAAGAAGGCACAGAACCATGATCCCGTAATCAGCAAGGAGCAATGGAGGCCTTTTCGTACATCCACCGCCGGCTGCATCAACAATTTAAATAATTTTTTTTATAAAAAAAGAACAGAGAGTCCGGCAATTGTTTCTTCTACTGAGATTAAGAAAAAAAAAAAAACAGAAATCCTAAATCAGAAAGTGTCTTACCTTCCTCTACAGGCCGTCACTTTGAAACAAAGAATTGTAGTGTTTGATTTCCATGATTCCAATCCGATGTTGCTGTGGAGACAAATCAAGCAATGATGAGTGTCAATACCTTGTGTCAACGGCAACCGCTGCTAAAGAAATATTTTCAAGTACTCAAAAACTCGAAACCCCAAATATGAGAGAGTAAACATAATGGAGCAGAATTGAAGGGATATCTTCTAATTTTTTGAAATATAATCTTGAGTTATTGATGGAAGTAAATTTAGGAGCAGTTATCTGATTTTGCGCTTGATTTGTGTTCTAATACGCATCTACTTCTTTGTTTAATATGTATTTACTTTTTTTTTTTAAAGATCATTATTTTTCTTGCCATTGAGCGAGCCACGTGGCATTTTTCATTTTGTACTGAAAAGTAGCTTTGACGGAAAAATTTTTAACATGAGACTGACATGCGTCCTACTTGTATATTGTTTTAATTAAGTACAATGGATATTACCTCTATCACCACAATATTCTGTGTTCTGTTATCATGTGTGTTTTTTTTTTTAGAGTGAAACTCAAAACGGGTCATTGAACTATTAGATAATTCTAATACAGGTCATTAATCAAATTTATTTATATAACAGGCCATCCTACTAAGTAAAAAATTCATCCTAGATCATTATGTTAATTTTGGCCATTAAATAGTGACGGAAATCTATTTTTCACATGCTTTTGGGTTCAGAGGTATTTCTATTATTTTTAAATTTTTAAATTTTTTTTTTACCATTCTTCTTCTTATACTTCCTAACTTGTATATAGTGGTGGTACAATTTCTAAATTTCAAAAATTAATTTAACTTTTGTATTTTAACATCTAGATTATAAAATTTTTAACAAAATTTAAGAAATGAAGAAGAAAAATTCGAGTTAGAGGATTATAAAATTTTTAAAAAAATTTAAGAAATGAAGAAGAAAAATTCGATTTAAAATAAACATGAAAATTAATAGTTTATCATTTTAAACTAAAAGAAAAATTAAAAGAATTATCTAAGACAAGTTCTTTCTTCTAGGTTATTGAATTTTTTTCAGCTCGATTGAATTATTTAATTATTAATTTTCACGTTAACTTCAATTTGAAAGCTATTTTGGAAACAACTTCCGTCACGATTTAACGTTCAAAATAGCTTTCAGCTAAGAGAAGTTGTTTCTCCTATGTTATTTTGGATGTTAAATCGTGACAGAAAGCTATTTTTCACCTATTTTTGGGTCCATGGACAATTTTGATCAATTTATATTTTTTTTAAAAAAATTCATATTTTAATTAATTTTTTTTTACAATTCTTCTTCTTTACTTCATAACTTGTATATGTTAGTACTAGTATCATTATTACATTTCTAAAATTAATTTTTCATTTGTATTTTAACTTCTAAATTATAAAAAAAGGAATAAGAAAAAAAATATAAAATTCAACTTGAAGTTAACGTGAAAATTAATAATTAAATAATTTAATCTAGTTTAAAAAAAATTAAATAACCTAGAATAAACAACTTGTCTTAGCTAATTCTTTTAGTTTTTTTTTTTAGTTTAAAATGGTAAACTATTAATTTTCATATTTATTTTAACTCGAATATTTCTTCTTCATTTCTTAAACTTTTTTTTAAAATTTTATAATTTAGAAGATAAAATACAAAAGTTATATTAATTTTTAAAAGTTAGAAATTATACTACCAGTATATAAAGTTAGGAATCATAAGAAAAAGAATTGTAAAAAAAAATTAATTTTTTTAAAAGATTAAAATTTTAAAAATAATAAAATGACAAAAATACCCCTGAACCCAAAAGCATTTGAAAAATAGATTCACGTCACTATTTAACGGCCAGAGTTAACAAAATGATCTCGGGTGAATTTTTTACTTAGTGTGGTGACCTGTTATACAAATAAATTTGATTGATGACCTGTATTAGAATTAACTAATAGTTCAATGACCCGTTTTGAGGTTCACTCTTTTTTTTAATAGAAGAGATGATGTCTATCCATCTATATGTCTTTGAATTCCAATGATAATTCATACAATCAACAAAAAAATTTTATTATTCATAAACGTATAATTGTCTTGTATACGAGAAAAATATCTTATTATTTATTACAATAAATATGTTATAATTGTCTTGGTTTTTGAAAATTAACGTGTAAGTGAACTGAGGACTGAGGAGAATTCAGGTGAACATTATCCATTATTAATGTAGACGTTATACATGTAAAAATCTCGTATTTAGTACTCACCTAAGAATTTTTAGCATTTTCATCCGATTATTTTTAAAAAATATTTATTTAGCAATTAATTTAAGTTTAATTCTCAACAGAGTAACAATATGAAATCCAACGCCTTTTCCGACACAGAAAAAGAAATAGGATAAAAGTAAAATGGAAAAAAGAAAAAGAAAAAGAAAGCATTTTTAAAATCATACAGTGTTCACTGGAAAATGCTTCTTTTTAAAGTGGGCCAGCAATAAGACACACAATGATGATTGATGAGTGATGACGAATGCTTCTAGGGTAGCGTGAAATTGCTACTTCCCCAGAGTGCAAAGTGAGTTCATAGAATTTCTTCTTACCATTTGATTCTCTGAGATTCTGAAATCCTCTCCTCATTCCTAACAACATTTCCAAAATTCATTCTTCATCACACTGTGCTTTCTTACCTGCTGCATTTACTCCTTTACCATTCCCAGGTAATAATTTTATTTTATTTTATTTTATTTTTGCTTTCGGGGTTTGTTTTTTTTCACATGGGTGGATTTAATAATTCCCTTTTTTTTGTTGTCTTCCCAAGCTCAAAACCCCCAATTTTTTTAATTGGTCTTGATTGATTTTTTGCATGGATCATCTCATTCTTGTATTTGTATTTCTGAAAGGAAAAATGGGCAACCAAAGGAAAGAGCTTTTTCTATGAAATTTGATAATGGCGATCATGATTATGTCAATGCTGTAGGTGTTTTTGCTGGAAGAGAAACAGAGAAGTAGCAAAAATTTCTGTACTTTGAGATGAAGAAGAGAGGCAGAAAGCCCATCATAGATAAGACTGTGGATTCGGAAGATTGGTGCTTTAGATGCAAAGAAGGTGGAGATCTTCTCATATGCGATTACAAGTGGGTTTTTTCATCACTTTTCCTTTTGATTATTTAGATAAGACGCTTTTCATGTTTGAAGTAGTGCGTGATGGAGGACTGAAGTCTATGATGCTATATAGTTTCTAGTCAAAATGTTTCTTCAGGGTTGATTTAATTTAAAATCCTTAATTTAAAAGATGGTTTGCTACTTCTGACCTTTTGTATAGTTGATACTAATATTCTACTCCTTCCTCGAAAAATAAATAAATAAATAAATAAATCTAGTCTGGAAGTCCGTTCCCCTTATCATTATTATTTTAATATTTCCTAAGCTTTTATGTTTCTGGCTTTTATGTTTCTGGGAGAAGAATGGTTAGTAAACACTATATATGCTGTTCTGCATTTGAATATGCAGTGTGGATACTGTTTTCATTTTGCTTTAGTTTTTATGTAGTGTGAAAATCTCGACATTGTGCCATAATTCTGCTTTCTGAGAACTTGAGTCTATGAATTGCATGAAAGGATCAGCAGCAAGAAGAACTAAGTCCTTGTCTCATTTTGTTGGATTGGTAAATAGATTGATCATATGTCACTTTGAGTTCACAGAACAATATTAGCTAATTAAGTTCTTCAGCATTCTCTGTGTCATAAACAGGATTAAATGTTATCTAAACTGGCATCATGTTAATGATGGGTGGTGTTTGGTTATGTGATTTAAAAGTTTGGTATAATCTTTCTCGAATTTACTATAGCTTGTTATTTTAACTTTTAACCAAACATAAATCTCTTATAGCAAGTGATGAGAACATTTTAAAGTTCTCATGATTTGGATGTGAATGAGTTGAGTTAGTTATCCCTCTAGTGAACCATGTTTCTAGGCTTATTGAAGATTTTCTACTGGAAATATTCTATTGCTTCAACTCATTCCCAAAAAAGTTGGATCTTGCTCTAATAGCTCCGAATAAATGAAATACGTGCATTAAAACTATCCTCTGCCTCATTTACATTATTCTTTTCCTTTTCAGGCAGTGTATTAAAACTTATCATCCTCATTGTGTTGATGAGTCATTGACGAGCAAAAAACGCTTTCATTGTGGTAAGCCCTTGAAAATCTCCCATACTCCTGCATGTTCACTGTTTTTATGTGTCGATATGACCTCTTCTCAACAGGTTCTCTTCATTCTATTTCTGATGCCCTGATCTATTATTTTTTGTTGCATAAATTTAATTTATGAATCATATTGCTCCTAGGTATTTGGTGACACTGATTATAATTAATCTTCCATTTGTGAATTATGAAAGAATTTATGCCCAGTTGCTACCCTACTTCTCCTCCGTATACTTGAATCGGACTGAAGATTCCACGCTCTAAGACTTTGTTGAAGTCGGGGGAATATATGACCTCTATCCCTGATACGACATAGTGGAATCAGGACTTCTTTTTGTGTTTGTCATTGATGTTTGATTATCGTTTGTTCAAGTATTGAAAATAGCGTGATTGGCTTCTTATTACAATATCTTCTTATTTTCTTCCATGATTTGTTAAAATATTTTAGGTCTCGGGTCAATAACCGAACTTATTCTTCATCTGTTCTTTCAGAACGGCATCGTTGTTGGCAATGTAGAAAAGGGAAAACATCATTTCATTGTTATTGTTGTCCTAAAGCAGTGTGCCTGCGGTGCATCAATCCAGTAGAGTTTGTGCGCATTAAAGGGCAAGATGGCTTTTGTTGCGATTGCTTGAACCTTGTTCTACTGATTGAAGAAAACAGGGATGTTACTGCAGATGGGGTATGAGGGTCACTTGTTCATAATTTTTCTTTCCAAATATTTCTTAAATTCTTTTCTTGCTCTGTGAGATGATCAGGATATTACTCTGAAATCTAGCTTATACTGGTGCAATGTAGCTATTGATAGATCATTGAGACACAGATTTAATAAAATATAGTGGTATATATTTGTTTTACCGTTACTGTTGGAAACGGGTTTTGAAAGTGAGTTTGTGTGGTGAGTAATATTTCATTGCTTGTGGAGTGAAAATGAGATTGATGATGCGTGATTCATCATTTTTTATCCGCTGAAGGTTAAAACAAGCATGAGCGTTCAGTTTATATTGAACATTTTCTTCACCTCTCGGCTTTATCTTTCAAATTAATTGCTCGGATGAAGTTACATGTCTGAAGCATTGTTACCCAAGTTTAATTTTCATGATAACATCATATCGCTTTTTAGTCCTTTTATGGGTTTTGGTCATGGTCGTTTATAGGTATTTGTGGACTTATGAACAAGTATGACCAGTGTTAGGATTATGGAGCAGCGAGTTTTTGTTTAATACAGTCAAAGAGCTCACAGATTTGATGTGCAGAAATGGTAGTTTTCCTTGCAAGGTTTTACATTCCCCAAAGCTTCTTGGTTTGTCATGGTCACAAATGAGTTTTTCACGTCTATGGGGTTACGTAATGTATTGGAGGAACCAAAATTTAAAATATAAATGGATATTCCTGACTATAATCTTTTATGAGGGGTTCGTATTTTGAGTAGTAGAGGACACTCATCTTAGTACTTATATTAGAGAAATGCGTATGGTCAACATATTTCTCTATTTCTGGTTGAGTGAATTGATCTGCTGTTTCATTTCCACAAATAATATGAACTATGGTCCCATCTGAGTGTAGTTTACCACTTCCGTACCCACTTTGTTCTTATATCTGTGTCTCTTTTGTTATTTGCTTTTCAGGCTTTGCAGTTTTCTTTTTCTTTAAAAAAAGTATTATTATTATGTTTTGTCTTTTGTATTGGAAGATGTTACATGCTTGTTCCTTTCCAGGTGACTGTGGACTTTAAAGATTTGCAAACATATGAAGGGCTTTTTATGGATTATTACTTCAGGGTGATGAAAGAGAAAATAGGTCTTACGGTAGAAGATCTCCACACTGCTAAAGATAAACTAATGACAGGGAAGTATGAATTAGATGACTTTATTGACGAAGAAGATGGTGAAATGGAATCTGATTATGAGGCCACGGACTCAGAAGAAGTCTTCAAACCAACAAAAAAAAGGAAGTTTAAGAATGATCTACAAGTGAAGAAGCCAAAAAAGGCCAAATCAAAGGAAATGCAGTTCTCTGGTTGGGGATCGACCCGTCTCATTCAGTTCTTGGCATCGGTTGGTGAAGACACTAGCAAAGAAATACCCCAGCGTAAGGTGGATACCTTAATAAATTTATATGTTAATAAAAATAAGTTATTTGATCCAAACGATAAGAAAAAGATAAGGTGCGATGAAAAGCTTCTAGCTTTATTTGGGAGGGAAGTTTTGAAAAGGAACAAAATCTATGAGTTGTTGGAATGTCATTTTGCAAATGATTTGGTGGTACCAGAACAAGATGAAGATCTGGAGGAGGAGAATACTTTTGATGGGACAGAAGATGGTTCAGTGTCTATTAAAATGCGGAGAAGTTTGAAAAAGGACAAAGATCCTATGAAAGTTAAGCAAGTTAGCAATGTGCCAGAAAGTTGTTTTGCAGCTATATGTGCTGAAAATATCAAGCATGTTTATTTGAGGAGGAGTTTACTGCAAGAGCTATCAAAAGAACCTGAATTGTTTGAACAGAAGGTGAAAGGAAGCTTTATTCGATTGAAGACTGATCCAAATGATCGGTTTCAGAGAAATTCTCATCAGCTCTTACAAGTCACAGGTTTTTTTTTTTTTTTTTTTTTAAAGTTTGGTCATTATAAACCAGCTCATATTTCTTTTAACCTAAACTTTCACTGGATTTTTTTTTTGTATGATCGTAGAAGCATAGCTAAGAAGTTACTGTGATATACTCTTCTGTCCCAAAAAAATAGTCCTTATTGAGTTTTGAGTTTTTGGGACAGTGGGAGCACTTTCCTAACTTTACCTATAGCTCTAAGACAGTAATGTAGTGGACTCTACAGTTGATCCTTGCTAGGACATGTCATTTTCCACTCGATCACAAACTTTTTGTTTGAGATTTTCATCAATTTGTCGCTACTAAGAGAGATCATGCAGTGAGTTGACTTGGTTGATATATGATGCGCAATAAACTATATATTCATGATGATATATGATTGATAGATGTAATCTTTGTCAATGAACGGTACTGAACTGAGAGCTGTGTGAGTCTCACATACTGCTTTAGACACAGCTTAGGCAAGTGAAGGTTGTGGGATGTTCCTGTATGATTGTAAATAAAAATTATTTCTTGGATCTTTCCCACAAAAAAGAAAGATTTTTTTTGCGCAATCATGTTTTGGCTGTTTAGATATTTAAATACTCCACATGTAAAGCTAAAATACATGACAATTTATCATGGTGATTCAAATCTCCTCTTTGATCAAAGTCTGAACTGAGGTAATGTGTACTCTTAGGTGTAAAGAAAACTTCAAGTGGCCAAAGTAATGCAGAGATGGTCCTTCAGGTGTCAAATATGCCATTTGAGATTCGTATAGGTTCACTGTCGGATGCCGACATTGAAGAGGTACTTTAATTCTCTCTATTGTTTTGAACGCGGCTGTTTCTTGTGTCCTAATACTTGATTGAAATTCTCCTAAAAGTCGTGAATATGTAATTGGCAGCTAGTACTTGATTGAAATTCTCCTCAAAGTCGTGAATATGCAATTGGGACAAAAACTGCCGTGATACTTGCTATAAAGTTAAGCGAATCCAGAGAAAACCGATTCTCATGAATGATTGACTTGTAATTTACATCATTTACTTATGCTCTCAAGTTTTAAACTGCTTAACCAATGGAAGAGAAGGTTATAGTGGCATTGATGGTTTAGTTGAAAGTAGAAAGCAGAACTCTTTTTTTTGATAATTAACTTCCTCTTCCTAAACAATTATCTCTTGGTTACAGTTTACTGCTGATGATATCTGTTTAAGTATTCATGGGTATGGATGCATTTGTGTGCATGTATTCCATCATCCAGCATAACCTGTCTATGGTGAAAAGCTTGTAATTTTCTATTGTTATATATTGCAGAAAATATCTCTCTTTGTAGTATGAGTTCGTCTTTTTAAAATGAAAAATTGAATATCCCATTTGGCTGGACTTATGTAATGTCCCGTGCTAGCATTTTAGTAAAGTGTAGTGCCTTGACCTTGATCATTTGTTTATCATTGCTGTTGTTTCAATATATTCCACTTGCAATATAGTTATTATCTCCCTTTTTGCAGGCAGAATGTGCAGACTTGAGGCAAAAAGTGAAAGATGGCTTGATTCCAAAGCCTACAGTAGTAAGTAACTTCATGGATCTGCAAATTCGCTGAATCCAATTACTCCTCTCAAAAGTTTATCATTTGCCTTTACCATCAACGGAGAAATGAATTGATTGCTGTTTGCTAAAAACATCTGCATAGTGGATTTTCTCAATTTAAAATATCTAACTTGTAGAAATGTTAGTACGAGTTTTTCGTGTTTCCCTTGACAAAAAACATCATCCTTGACCTTTGGGCAGAATGCAAATCTTTATCTGGGTTCCTCATTAGAAGTTCAGTTGATTGATTTTATGGCTATATTGCCAAGTTCTGCATATCAAATCAATTCTGTTATTAGAAAAGTTTTCTTTCTTTTCCACCAGTAGCACCCTACCCAATGTAACTGTCTGTAAACACTACTGATTTAGGATGATTTAGGACGATAAGAACATATTGCTGCACGTAAAAGTGTCAGATTTCATGGGCATAAAAATTAGAAGCATACCGTTGCATATAAAACATTGCTCTTTAAGGAAACTTTCTAGAAAAGAAGTATGCTGAATAGGAAACTATTTCTTTTCATGCCCACTGTCCAATTTATTGCAAAAAGAAGTTTCAACTTTCAACCGTAGATTATTGTAGGTTCAAGTATTTACTATATGAGAAATGGGAAACTGTAACCATATATGTAAGATCTAGTCAGTTATTGCTTGATCTATTTGTTCATTTCGCCATTTGACATTAAGCTCTAATAGCTCTGACCGAGCAGGGCATGTTCTTTCTGCTTTCTGGGGAACATAGAACTCGATAAGTAATGACCATTTATTGGCTTGTTGTGTGAATACCTTACACTCCGTTTCACAGGTGGAGCTCCAAGAAAAGGCCAGGAGTCTGCATGAGGATGTAACGAAGAATGTACGTATTTCAGTTTTTGTTTTGATGCATCTGGAGTATTCATGCTCCTATACAAGCTTCTTAACTTGACACAAAGTATAATGGGTATAACTCCTGAAACCAGGGGATTCAGCTTGTTGAAATTTCATTCTATGTATGCCCATGTATTCATGTAGTTGTCCTTTTATATTTAGAGAAGACAATAATGTTTAGAGTTAATAATTGGACAAATAACCAAACACCATTACAAGCACAGATATTATGGCGAAAAGTTGCTCCTTTCTCTCCTACAGTTTGTGGCACGCTGTTTTACCTTGTTCATCAACTATTTTACTTCATGATGTTATCTTCTTATTTATGTCATCTCAACGTCAGTGGATTACTAGAGAACTGAAGTTACTGGACTCACGCATTAATCAGGCCAATGACAAAGGTCGGAGACAAGAATATCCTTTTTCCTTTAACTTAATTAAGAGAAGGATTTCTTGAGCTGCTCAGTATTACCGTGTTAATATGATGGTTGTGTTACTGAAGTCATCATTCAAAAAGCTCTGGGTTGGTTCCCTTAGAAACAGACACTCTACTCATTGCATTTCTGCATTCCTCATGTCTGCATGCAAGAGCCTCAGTGTTTACAACTATTTTGCCTTGTTATGAGCTCAATAGTGTACCTTAACCTACAGCGTCTACTATGTCTGACTATATGGAAAAAAGGAAGCTGTTGCAAAGTCAAGCAGAACAATTGCGACTATTACAAACTTATCCCACTGTGAAAGCAGAGGAGCTTGCACTGTTAAGTGAAGAAAATGAGTTCAACAGAAAGGAGGATGAAGCCTCTCCTCAGTCAGTAATTTCAACTGGTCTCAAGGGAAAATGGGGAAACAATGGAACTTCAAGTATGATTAAGCACACAACCTGCTATCTTTCTTGCAACTTTTGAAACTTAAAACAGTCACAAATTGTTATTTTATATGCCTAGTTTGGTACTTCACGAATTTGCTTTTCAGTATGTGGTTTGTTTTACTGCTTTAATTAGTCGGTCAGTTGTATTCTATATCATTGGAGTACTCGTATCATTGCAGCCCCGGTCCTTCAGTATGCAATTAGAATATTGTTGCTCTTCTCAAAACATTTTCTTGTTCTTTTTATTTGTTCTTTTAACATAATCATCTATAATATAGGGTTTTGAATTCCATCATGCTCCTGCCTTTCTCCCTTGTGTCCTTGAGTGGAACTGTTATTGTTTATTGAATCTAGCTTGTCAATGTTTTGCAATGATTTTCTGCTTCTTTTCTTCTAATTCCTGTCTCAAATTCCTCTGATTTTGTTCTCAATTACGCAACATGCGTTTCGTGTCCATTCTGTTGAATATTTGTAAATTACACCTACTGATGTTTGACCACTTCCGTTCTGTTAGTTATTGTGTTTTCTTTTCTGACATTTTGTATGATGCAGATCATGTTAATTTCTGAGCTGCTACATCTTTTGTTGCAGGAGGGAAGAAATATCCAGGTCAAAATTTTGTTAGCCCACCTCTTCCAATATCCGCTGACCAAGGGTCAACATGGAAAAGCACTACAACTGTTGCAGCAACTGTTGAACGATCCCAAGATCAGGTGCTTACTCCTGAATCTCAATATAAGGGGAAATTCCTGGGAGAGAAAGGGATGCACAGTCCTTTTGCCACTTACTTGAAGCAGAATCAAGGGACTAACACTGAACAGCCAGCAACCAGAAGAATCAATGGAATAGTTGCAACAACTGTCAAAGGATCCCCAGGTCAGGTGCAGACATCTGAATCTCAATGTAAGGGGAAATTCCTGGGAGAGGAAGGGATGCGCTGTCCTTCTCCCACTAACTTCAAGCATAATCAAGGAGGGACTTACTTTGAACGAGCATCAACCAGAAAAAGCCATAGGACAGTTGCAGTAAGTGCAACCCTCAAAGAATCCACAGATGAGATGCCTACATCTGAGGATCATTCCAATGAAAGATTCCAGGTGAAAGAGATATATAATTCTTCCTCGACTAAATTGAAGCAAAATGAAGCAATAAACACTGAAGATATGACACCGGAGCAGCAAGGAACACGTGTTGATAAAGCTGTCGTTGATTTGAGTAGTGATGACGATAGCGTTGTTTGCACTGGTTCATTGAGAAAGCAGAAGCTCAAGGACCCAGACGGTTCATTGAGAAAGCAGAAGCTCGAGGACCCAGACAGTAGAGTATGGCTCGTAGTAGGTCCTGATGGCGAAAGGAAGGGAACATATACCTTGTCATTGCTCAAAGCCTGGAGGGAGGCGAGTCCGTATGCACTGAAATTCAAGGTTTGGAAAGAAACTCAAACTGAAGAACAGGCAATCTGGCTGGGCGATGCTATTAAGCTAGCTTTTGATGAAAACTAGAAGCTAAAATGATTTGGTTTATCGCCATTTCACCAGTTTCCAGCTTTGACCTGAAGTGAAGTAAGTTTTTCCTTCAGCTGTTGTATAATAAATTCACCATTTTGGGAGCTCAATGTTTGGAAAAGGAAAAAAAAATTAAAAAATACGGGCACTGCTCGTTGCCTCAAGTACATATATATATTCAATCATGTTGGGACAATGAAGGATTGCAAGAATGTTGGGCATCCTCAATGTTTGTATGTATAGTGAAATGTATCGTTGTGTAGGTGCACCAGACAGCCGAAACATGCATGTCTGCACCATATCCTTTTGGGTTGCTGAGTTTGAAATTTAACAGTGTCAAGTCTCTCCATCCTAAGAATGAATGATTACAAGTCAATCCTTTTTAAGGTTTGCATTTGATCATCCCCAAAAAGGAATCACCAGATATCAAAACTATAGTACTTTCCTTATTGTGATTTGACTTGAATTGAACTTGTTTCAGCCTTCAGGGATTGTACTACAGCGTATGAAAGGACATTGACTGCAAACACCAATCACATCAAATGCATAGTCTCCATTTGGCTATCATCGAATTCATCATTCCACCCCCTCTTCTTTTTTTTCTTCTGACATTTCGGTGAAAGTGTCAGTGAAAGAAGATGACGAGTTTGACTTAGTATTAATGTGGTAATAATTTTGTCTACAATAAGTAGCTACGCCTATATGTTTCACATTGACTATAACAATGAGATTAACACATCATTCACTGCATGAAACTTGAAAAAAAAAAAAAATTATTCTGTCCAAGAATTTGGTTCATAAGCACTGAAGTTGACGGCTAGGAAAATTACGATTTCCTCGATTCTGGGATCCTGTGCCCACAAGTAGTATAATCAGCTAATAGAAACAATCCTGTTCAAGTGAATGCAATTAGAAGCTCAGAGTGGCGGAGCCGGGGGATGGAGGGGTACGGTCGCACCTGCCCAATTTTTAGTAGTAGGGATATTCTAAATTTTTAATAGAAACTATGTATGGTCATTAGTAGTTTTGTCTAAATTTCGCACCCGGATATTGATTTCTTGGCTCCAAAACATGAGTTTTAAAAGATTCAGATGGAACCCTGGTTTGGTGTAGCCAAATAAAAGGGAAGTCTGTGGTCGCCATGAACTTGACAGATGATGGAAATCTTTTGCTCTTTGGCAGAAAAAAGGAACCCATTTGGCAGTCTTTAGATTCCCCTACTGATACTTCACTTCCAGGGCAGAAGTTGAAAGCAGGGGAGAGGTTGACAGTCAGTGTTTCATCATCAAGTGGAGTGAATACAGGGTTGGGTGCTTATATATACTCAGATCCACATCAAAGATATTATTTTTCTAGATTTCCTTACAATATTTCATATGTTGAATTCACCAATGGGGAGTTTCACAACTATGTCTTCTCATCAGCTGCTCAATTCATGAGACATTTGGATCAGATGGAAGTTTAAGGGTATTTCAGTGGAGTGTTGATCTCTTGGGAACGAGTGATTGTGGCTACCCCTGGTTTGTGGAAAATATGGCATCTGGTCTCCAAATGGACAATGTGGTTGTCTGGAAAGCTTTTTCAGACAAATGGATTTTCGACAATCAAAACAATTTTATTTTATTTTTATTTGAAACGGAACAACCAAATCTCGGATGTTCATTGTTCACTTCTTGTGATCACTCCAAAGATCATAGTCTACTTATTGAGCTGAACAACACATTCTGCTTCGCATTCAACTCGTCCGAAGAGAATACATTAGTTGAGGCTAATTGCCTTGGTTGCTTAGAAAAAGTGAAAGGATTCATGGCCAATATAGAGGCTAATTGCCTTAGTTGCCTTAGATGGCCAATATAGATCCCTGCACGAATGGATATTTATGGAAAGGAAGAGGAAGGCCATTGTCTTCTTTCATGGCAATCCTTCAGGGACTGAGGGCTATCTTTTAGTTTTTCCAACTGAATCATCCATCATTCATAGATGTAACTATATATGCACAGAGCACCCATCAGCTCAGCTGTACTTATCTATACATTAAAAGCTACAATTTTTTAGGCCTCCTTCCTCATATCAAATTTTGGCCAAGCTACAGATTCTTTTAATTACGATAAATGATTACGAAAATCTCAGAAACGTGATGCTGACCAAACTACCAATATTTGTAGACAGCAAGATTGCATTCTCTATCTTTACATCCTAACTAAACAGAACAGAGCCGAGCTGTCATCATAGTCCATAACATGAAGTGCTTTCATCAGTGGTTTCTAGGATTTGAAGAGATTTCTCTCGCACCTGGTGAACAAACAGGCTGCTCCCTAATACGAGATAGAAGCATAGAAGCTTGTTCAGTAGCTAAATCAAGCCGTTCTCGTGATTTAACTGATTCGTTTATCAAAGAAGCTAATATAGTCTGCAACAATTGAACCCTCTCAGGGTGATCATTCGTGGTGGTCTCAAGGAGTTTGCTAGGTGGTGTACTGATTCGACGCCAACGAAGAGGAAGATACCGATCTGGAATTTGGAAGCAATTACCGGTGGAAAGAACACGAAGAGCATGGCGACAAAGGATTCCTGAGAACTCAAAGTGATGGCAGCTACAACTTATGACGCCTTCCCTTGGAATCCAATAAACTTTCCGCCCTCCCTCAAGTTTAGTATGGTGTCTCACTAGATAGCCATCTTCCATCTGAAATGATGCATAGTGAGCAGCCAAAACCAGCTGTTCCTGGAGCTTGGAAAATGCAAAAGGTGTAAGAACTGTAGCAGCATGAGATTCCATTGGTGCTCCAGTTTTCAAACAGAGGTTTTGGAGATTCTGCTGCATTGTCTGCTGTTCTGCAGTTTGGTCCTTGAAATCCACAGTAACAGCTACCTGATCTTGCAAATCAATGTCAGTTGTTAGATGGAAAATCAACATTAAATTTTGAAAGAATCAACAAGAAAGACTTACGTCAGTAGATTCGGAATTTTTAATACATGATATAACACAATCAGTAGATTCTAATTGATTACTCCGAAATAGGAAAGAAGCGAGAAGCCGAAAATGCAGGATCTCTAAACTACGAAAATTAAGCCATTTAGAATCCTATGCAACCATCAATATTTAGCAATTGATCACTAATGTCACCACATAGTAGGATAAAGGCTAAGTTTTTGTCGAAATCACAAATTTAGCCCAAGTAAACTGTAAGCTCATATCAGATAAGGAAGACTGAAACCAAATAACAATCATTAAGAAACTATACCTGTTCCACAAAGTGAGCAACCCGGGTTTGTGCACTCAAAAACCGCTGAATGAAAGCATTAATTGCTTTAGAGTGGACAGTAGTGGTCATCCCCGCAAAGAAATGGCTTCGCAAGTATGGCAGTGCCCAAAGTGACCGTAAGGCAAACAGACTAACAATATGCCTGTTAGCATGAAGTCCAAATGCATTCACCATGTCTCTCCAACCCAATTCAAACTCTTCAATTGACTCCAGATTATACAACCTATAAAATTCAGCCTTCCAATCATTGTAGCGATCTCCTAAAACTGCATTAAACCAGGAAGGAAACTTTGCCACGATTAACCAAATGCATAGGGCATGCTTACTACTCGGCAACTCTGATGCTACTGCTTCTTTGAGGTACATATTCTGATCAGTTAAAATTGTTTGTGGAGCCTTTCCATTCATGAAACCTAAGAATGCCTTCTCCAGTCAAGGAAGGACAAGAAGAAATTAGAACTGTCCCAGATCAAAGCTAAGTGCAAGTTCTTTAGCCAGCCTGTTTTGCAAAACATGTGCATGTTGTTTTCATTATCGTTGAGGAACAAGGAAAGTGCCATCAATAATTTTCCATATTTTTTCAGAAGACTATAACTGTTCTGTCATGATAAACTCTGAAGACTATTTATCCGACTCAGAAGTAAACATATACACCCCTACTACAAGTCTAATCTAATTGCCCATAAATCAGCCCATAATTTAGCAGCTAAGAAATTTGTTGTGCCAAGATGACAGAAGAATTAAGTTGGCTGGAAGCCCAAAAATAGCATATCATGTCAGTGACATAGGAAAAGAATATCTAACTAATTCATATTAATTCAATACGTCGCCATGGCCAATATTGTTCACCGTTGTAGTAACACACTAATACAAGAAAAAGAAACAAAAGATAATTGCTTTATTTTCCAAAATGCATGCAATTGTATGTTTTAGACAGGAGTCCAAATCCTCAAAGGAAAAAGACAAAGAAGCACATATTGATTAAAAAATGGGGGTTGGAGGGTGAGCACATAAATAACATACAGCTGTTTGTGTGTCAGCGTGTGTGTGATTGAGTGGCAAATTGTTAAAAGCAGAGTAAATGCATGACTGAACAGGTCAACAGTAAAAACAAACCAACGTAATTTACTAATTTACCTTCAATGCCCATGAGTATGACCTCAAGTTATCCTCTCTAAGAAGTGCACAACCAAAAAAGCATGGCATTCCATAATTATTTATTCCAACCCAGATTGCCAGAGGCATATCAAAAGCAGTCAAGCGGTGGGTAGTGTCAAAGATTACCACATCACCAAAAATATCATATAATTGCATTGATGATGCATATGACCAAGCAATATTTTCCAACCTATTGTTTGTATCCAATGCATACTCAAACTTAAAGTTCGGATCTTTCTCCTTAATGTTTCTACACATTCTCAATAAGTCTATGCTCTCATCCTCTGGATCCGCCTTTTTTAATGACTGTAGCAAATTTCTAATATCCTTCTCAGTAAAAGGCAAATATCCAGGCTCGACACACTTCTCCAGCTCCAAAAGTCTCATCATCTGTTGCACTGAAATCCCTGTTTTAGCAAACATTAAGATTCGACTTTTGTCTGCATCAGATATTGTGCGATATGCAGGAAGAAAACGCACTTGGTTGGGCTCCAGGAGTTCATGATTATGATGATTTGCATAACCAGTGACTCGCCATTCAGGTTGTCCTAACTCAGTTGTCTTGGTTATTCGCATAAACGCTTGACACCCACATCTAGATGATTTTCTGTTTCTTTGAGGTTTAGTGTCATTGGAATTTTTAACAGGAGTATTACCAGCACGATGGCATACAAAATAACGCCTAGTAAGCCCTTTCCCCACACCATCTTTACCCTCTGTACGGTGGCGCCGAATCGAGAAGCCAGAACGTTTAGCAAATTCACTATAGAACTCATAAGCAGCGTCGTGAGTGGCGAACCTTTGCCCAACATGAGGTGCCACATCATTTGCTTCCTCCAAGGACAGCCTCATTTCATCTGGAGATTCCTCCGTACTGCTAGTATCCTCAAAAGATAGAGACCTCTGATCAGAGTGCTCATCATAAACCATCATCATTTCTGCCACCTCTTCTGACATGGTTGCCTACGCCCTACGCAGCCATTTATGTACAACAAGAACCTGATGCCCTTTTTCCCTATTAATGTGGCATCAGCGGCAGGAACAATAAGCTACAAGACATTATAAAATGAAAATGTGGTCAGCTCTTCGGAAAACTCAACCACGAGAAAAAGGAATTTATCTCTTTGCAAGATGCATGGTGTACATTAAGTTCTAATGGCAACAGCAACAACCAACCAGTTAAGTTATACTCCACAAGAATTGTACTTGCAAAAAGGGTCACTAGCAGAAGCCATGGGAAACTCAATTACATATAAATGGCGAGGGGAAAAAGCGATCACCACTCAAAAAAAAAAAAAAAAAAAAAACAAAAACAAAAACAAAAAACCCACATAACTGCTACAATAAGTCCAATTACATAAACAATCCCCAATATGAATCTGAGCTGCATTGATATTGAAAAGCTGAAAAATTAAGCTACCAAGTTTTCCAGAAAGTAAAGAAACTATTGAAATTCCATGATAATCAAATATCAATCGGATGCATTTTATCTGAGAAGTCAAGAAATCAATTGAAAGCGACAAAAAGCAATCATCTTTGTGATTGGATAATTTCGATCATGTCAGACAAGAATCCAACATTGCAGTAACATTCGAATGATATAAGAAGAAGATCAAATAACAAAATCAGCAAAAATAATAAGAATACCTCGGAATATGAGATTGGCGGGAGAAGAGACAGTTTGAAACTTGGAGCTGGTGGAATAATCAATCCGTTGGGAAAGAGAGGAAGAAAGAGAGGAGTGAAGGATGAACCCTAATTTGCGCGGGGACGTAAGAGCGCCACTTATATACGGCGGCGCACGTTTTCTATCCGGCGCCTTTACTTTCCTTAACTTTTTTTAAAAAAAAATTTTCCATCTAATTAGCAGTTAAAAAAAATTGTTTTCCCGAATAAATGAGATTATCTCGAAGAGAACTTATTTTCCCGAAAAATGCTTATGACTTATTTTGTTCTAGGCATTAATCTGACACAACCAATTACAGGAGAAAATCTTCCATATAGCTAATACATAAAGAGGGCAAGATTGTAATTTTATCAGAAAAATTACGACAAAATTAAGGGGACATGATATTTTCCAGTTAAGTGTGTTACTGTACTAAAAAGGGGAATACACTTGCTGTATGGAATAATTTTTCCAATCACAGTACTATCAAAAAAAAAAAAAAAAACCAATTACAGGAATAAAAAACCTTATGTGTTTAATGTATTGTTTCAGAAATTAAAAGAATTATAACATATGTTTAATATATTGTTATTTAATTTTTCAACACGCATTTTTATTGACAATAAATGATTAATGCATCAGTCACTATAATAATTATATACTTTCATAATCATCTTTCTTTTTCCTAACCATAAGTCAGGTAGAAATTAACTACCTCCGGTAAAAGAAAGAAGAATGTAGATTCTTGATTATAGAAGATGTTGGTCCAGAAGAAAGAATCATATAAAACTTTTTTCATACTACCTCCTTTTCACATATGAGTCCACTTTGAGTGACACAAACTAAACAAAATTGTGTATTAGAATATAAAGTGGATTTATGATCCAAAATAGAAGCTGGACTTACATTTTTCAATAGTATTAAACTTGTGTATTAGAGTATGTTTAATATGTTGGTTTTCTTTTTATTAGTATTAATCTTGTGTATTACATTTTTCAGTAGTATTAAACTTGTGTATTAGAGTATTAAATAGAAGCTGGTTTTGTTTGTTTCTTTTTTTTGTTGGTTTTTTCAGAATTTAATATTAATAACTATCCCATCTCAACATACCTTTTTACATTTCCAATGCATATTTTTACATTTCCAATACAAAAAACACCTAAAAACACATACTAAAAAAAAAAAAACAAATAGACCCTTAATTTTTCAAGATGTATTTTATCAACTACTGTCTAAATGGAAATAACCTCTGACCAAAAAAAAAAAAAAAAAAAAAAAAAAAAAGAATGTATGAATCTTAATCGTATACTTCCTCTGTTCCATAATTATTGTCCAGTTTAGGTTTTTATTTTTAGTTCAAATTGTATTAAAAGTGAAATTTCAAAGTGGACAATAATTTTGGGACAGAGGGAATAAGATTTTGGTCAAGAAGAAAGAATCATTCACTTTCATGACGGTGAGTTTTTTTTTTCTCTTCCTTGTGGATACGAGTTGTGACATAACTGGCATTATATGATGAATCCTCTTCATTAGACCAACTTGATTACCAGAAAGTGAATGAAAAGAATATGAAAGGGAACAAAAAAGGGTACAATTCTTTGATACTGGCATATAAAGATTGATATTTTCATATATCTACTATACTTTATTACAATTCTTCGCATTCTAGGTGTATTTTTATAAAATGGAACAATATAAACTCAATTTTGATCCAAAATGTGTCCGAAACAAAAATGATGTCTATACAGACAAGAGAATGGCAGCAGCAGTTGCATTACGTTTATAAATGAGCCTGGAGGGGTTCAGATGTACTCCATCTATCCTAAAAGAACGATATATACAATGAATTTTGAATTTTGTATCGTCTTTAATATAAATTTAAAAATTCGGTGTAGATAACTTTTTTTAGAGATAATTTAAAACATCACTCCGTTTTTATGTATATTTGATTTTCTCATAATCATGTGGGAGTTGAATATTCCAATAACATTTTAGACTTTTTTTATATCTAATTATATTTTAAAATAATGACATCAAACCTAAGATAATTTCAATGTCCTAACCGTGCGTGGTGCTTAAATTTAGCTCTGCCATATAATTGTATACAGCCTATGTATATCCCATGGCCAGATAATTGGCCAGTCTTTGCTCAACACAATTACAAGTTGTTATTACAACCGACACAATACTTAATTGGAAACTGGTTTAACGAATGTTTGACTTTGTTGTTCAAATATAATAGATGAAAAAATAAAGATGAATATTCTCATTACAGTCCATAATGTCAAGGTGCCCGATGGAGGAACCCTTTGTTAATTCATTAATCATGATCATTAACGAAATTACTATTTAAAAAGAAGCAAATGTTCAAATAATTAGAGAATATTGAAGTATTCAACAAGCAAATCCCATGACGACATTATGAACAACACAAAATTGCTTGGTGCTAGTACTATTCAAAAAAGATATCATGCAATTGGTTAGAAACTTGAAGCATTGACTTGGGGGGTCATATTACGATTAGGGTGGAATGGTTAGGTAGGATGGTTAAAGGATTAAGATGTGAGATGGTTATTCTTAAGAGGTCGATGGTTCGATTCTCATGTAATTTTTTTATAAAAAAAATCATATTACGATTATAAGAATTAAGAGTCGTGTAATTGACATATATCTAAAATAATTAGCGCGTTTAAAAAGAATGGTTGTCTTGGTCGCGGCTGGTTCTTTGTTTCATTCATTCATTCAAATTATTAAAAATGTAGAGAGAGTAAATTCACACAACAAAATCAACATTTCATTTTTAATTGATTTGCCGACAAAGGCGTTTACAAAATTTGTCGGTTACGTTGAGAGGTGATGGATTATGATAATGGAAGAAGGAATAAGGATTTTAAATTTTGGAAAAAAATTAGGTAGTAGTATCAATTTATACGGTCAATGATTAAAATGCTACGATAAATCACATGAATGAAAATTGTAATCTTCTAAATTTTAATGACTTAAATCATTGATTAAATTTAAACCATTAAATCATGATATCAGCTACTTTCAATCTCTGAATCTTGATATGAGATTAAAGATGGGTGAGAGTGCATAGTATATATGTATTTGTAATGTTATGTGTATTCTTTCTTTCTTTTTTTTTGGTTTATTTTTCCTTCTAAAATTATTTGAATGTGTTTTACAAACAACCGATCTCCACTGTGATAATAACTAAATTAGATGTGTGTTTTTATAATTTTATATCGATCGATGACTAAAATATACTTTGATCTACATGGTCTACTATATAACAATTGATTTTTTTTATAAAAAAAAATGTACAAATACGAATTTCCATGCCTCACATTATAAAAGAGACTACTAATTAAATTATCTTATCTTATCTGTTTCAACATCAATTTTTGAAGTCTTCTAATAGCTCCATCAATTCATCATTTTCATCAACAGGTGTAGTTCCTATTCGGTGGAAAAAAAACGCATTTTGAGAATTTCCAAAAAAAAAAAAAATTAAAAATAAAAATACTAGAAACTTTTTTCATATTGATTTAATTGGTAACAAATGAGGAAGATGGAATCCAATCGTCATTTGCACAAATTTGTATGGCTGGAACTGTGAATAGCTATCGCAGTCAACGGAAATTTAATTAATTCAATTTTGTAGAAAAGAAAAAAAAATAATGTACCCACGATAATCATCAATAATGCTCCACTAAGATTCCACTATTCCGGGGGCAACCAACTTGGTACGCCAGCCTTTAACACAGACATTCCATCCGAATACTGGAAAGTTGGTATCTGCCAGTTCCCCCCAAACGCAAGTATTTCCAAACTCGATAAGATAATGACTCGGTGACTATTAACACGTATAAAAATATATACTAATTAATTTATTACTCATTCTGTCTCTGAAAAATAGTTCATATTGATTGACATAGTATTATTTTTTTCAAAAATAAGAAAAATTATATTGTACATAGTAGGAATTGAATCCCTCGTCTCGTACTTTTGTTATTCTATTACATGTATAAGAATTTTGGAATTATAGTATCTACTGCTCTTTCCATTATAACATATATAAGTAATTTTAGACTTTAAACGTAAAGTAATGAGACAATTATGAGCAAGGAAGATTAGTCAATGTTGTTGACGAGGCAATCGCAAAATTTCATTTTGTGGTTTAGTACACCTTATTAATTGCAAAATCCTACTTAACAATCTCTAGTTTTCCTATTATCAACAGGCTTTCTGATTGTGATTTCTACATTTACCATCATATAAACTGTAAACTTTATCGCTCTGGAGCCGATTTGATTCTCATCATCATCAAATCTTTTAATTAGCATGGGTTCGAATTCTTGTTTTCATCATATACTGTCAATATCAACAACATTTATGATTCCGTAAATTGGACAGAGTTTTCATTTTGAATTATTAATCAGTTCCAAATTAACAAAAAATATTATTCATGAGTTTCAAGTTCAATGTCAATTTCTCACTAACGGATATTATTCACATTCACTCACATAGTATACCTATATATATATATATATATATATATTCATATGAAGTAATTCTATATCATGTCACAAATTTTTACTCCCTCCGTCCCAAAATGATTGTACAGTTTGGATTTTATATGTTATAAATACTCTTCCATCCCTCTCTACACTTCTTATTCATTCATTCTCCTAAAGTCCAAAATCTTTAGTGTGTAATAAATTATTTTTTTTAACCCAACAAAATTTAATATTCCAGAAGTAAACCAAACTGAAAAAGGACATGTAGCACCGCTTTTCTAACTGGCGCGAATACAACTCACACACGACCTTCCACGTTTAATATTACTCCTAATCATTTCCAATTCTTTATATTTTTTCATATAAAAAGTGGTACTTATAATAACACTCATAATAAGAACAACACTAATTATTAGTAAATTCGAAACCCACCATAATTATTATATTGGTTTACAGTTTCTTACACCGTGTTACTCGGGGTCCCCCCTCTATCTCACTTTCTTTAGATTGTTTTTCTAATGTGTTTTTTAAATATTTTTTGTATTGAAAAATATACTCTTTTCATTCTGAAATTATTGTCAAATTTAGATTTTTATTTTTAATTCAATTTTGTACTAAAATTAAAAATTCGAATTGGACAATAATTTTGGAACGAAGAGAATAAAAAAAATGTATTAAAAATGTAAAAAGAGTACTGTGATGGAATGAGACATTTATTATTGAAAAACTCTAAAAAAAACCAACTGAAAAATGAACCAAAACAGAATAGAAAAGTCTTCTTTTTGAATGAAAGGGGCGACGTCGTTTTCGTATTTAGTGACTTAAAAAAGTCTATTAACTTTAGAGCGAAGGCAGTAAATGGAAAATGGGATCATGTTTTAGGATTAAGTACCCTTTTTAATGCCTTCTTTCTGTGGACTTTCTCTTTATTCGTTACTTTCTGATTGGACTTTTTCCTTAGTGATTCCCATGATCTTTTTTTTGAAGGATTACTAGAAATTTTTTTGTGTTGGTTTTTTTTTTTTTTTCCCAGTACAAAAAGGCCGAAGAAATCAAACGTTCATTCTATTTTTTTGGCTTCCTCTTCAGTTTCTGAATTGAGAGAAGGCTTTGTTTAAAAGTCTCTCAACTACTTGTTGTACTTGCGGGCAGATACATTTTTATGAAGCTTTACATGCAAATATGAAGTCTTCTTGCACCTTTGTAACTTTCTTCTACCCTTTTTCCTCAGTTTCATCTCTGTTGGGCCATTAATATGACTTGTTATGGTTGCTGGAAATTTCGGGATTTTTTTTTGGGGGTAGTTTTGCAGAATTCTGCATCTTTTACTGTGTGATTGTGCCTGATGATTTGGCCAGTTACTTTTTTTGTCTTGTTGTCTTATGTGGGATGGTGGGAAAAGCCGAAATTTGCAGAGATTGCTTTCTCTGATCTCCCCTGTTTTTTAGTACTTCGTGGTTCGTGCATTTAGTTCGGTTAACTTTTCGATTTGATTTTACGTTGACTGGTTTCCTGGTTTTTTCCGAAAAAAGGTGGGTTTTTTAACATTGATCACACAAAAACTTTTCAGACTAAAAGTTGAAAGAGGACTCCAGCCCAGAAAAGGAAGAAAAACATTCATAGAGTGTTTCCGTGTTGATCAATGTTAAAAATTGTAAGCATTTTAATCAATTTAATCTTTTCATTTGGGGATGTTCCTGTTACTGGTTCCAGAGCATGGAACAGATTCCGGCTGCTTTGCTGCTCAATTGCAGTGATATCTGAGTTTGAAGAACAGGGGAAGAGTAAAGAAAGAATGGCAGATCGTATTGGATTGTCTGAATTGTCGGTTTACTGGGCAAAAATCAATTTGTTGATATCCATGTTTTCAAAAAATTTTTATGGTTCTAGTTCATCATTAGTTCATTGGGATCACGATGAACAGAGCAAGTTGTTTGCTTTAATTGCGGTTTTCTAGAGTTTGGTATACTTCCAAAAGTTTTAGGTGGCAGATATTGGCCTATTACGTAAATGCTCGCCGTTTGTTAGCAAGAAGTCAAAATTGAACGAAAAGTATTTAGTAGTAATTAGACTGTTACGCTTGCTGACACTGCTTACTCATGACCTCATTCACCATCTGTCTACATTTTTTGTTGGTACAAATCCTTTGGTATTCAGTTTTTTTTTTTTTATTGGGGGAGTTAGATTGTTAATTTGTTATATACTTGATCCAGGTGTTATGTCTGCACTTCTTACCTTCATTCTTGTTTCAGATGGACTATACAGCGTTGTTTGTTTCTATTGATTGTTCTTATTTGGCCTGGGTTTCCCTTTTCAGGTTTCGGTTATGTCGGATTCGAAAGCTAGATTGTATCTCTGCAGTGTACTTGTCTCTGCTTTTCTGATTAGTTGTTTTTACTTCACCGGAAGTGTTTTCTTCGCTGGCAATTACAGGGTAAATATATTTCCTTATCTTCTCGCTTATGTTTGACATTTCCCCCTCCCTTTGCAGATTTTTTTGTATATAATAGAAGGTGTTGATTATAGGTACAAGGCCATCTCCTCTTTGTTAGTAACTAAACATGTCGACAAAGTTTTAGCCTTTTAGTTTCATTTATTTGTTTGTTTCTCCACATTTGTACCTTGCTTTAAAAGGATACCCTCCAAAGATTTCATAGCTAAGGATTCATCAGTTTTTAAATTTCGTTTTTGTTAAGCAGCTGCTTTCTGGATTTGGAATTAATGGCACCCAACGTGATGCAAATTATGATAATTGCAAGGTTAGTTTCGTGGCAAAAATTCCTTCTTTTCTTTTTCTAGGAGTAATAATATTCTTCTGTATACTCCTCACAAATTATTTTGAAAGTTATTGTTGTATGTTTTATGTCTTTTGCAGTTTTGTATGATTCGATTCGATGATACTGACCTTTTGATTAGATTTCAGGAAGATTAGGAAAAGGGGTTTATGCTGGGGGGAACAAGGATTCTGAAAAATGTGCGGTATGTTGTCGGAGACCAAAGATAAGACCTCATTCTTCTAGTTTGCAGCTTTCATTCAACTGATGATATTTGTACTTTTTTTCTCCTTGTGGAAAATAATAACCAGGATAAGTGCAAACCACTTGGTAGTGAAGCATTGCCAGAAGGAATTGTTGCTAAAACTTCCAACTTTGAAATGCGCCCTTTGTTTGGTGATGTTGATGAAAAGGTATGTGTGCAATTACATCACATAGTTTGTTGCTGTTTCGAATACTACTTAGTTAATGTTTGTAATTATAGTCCGTTGGACCATAAAAGTTACATGACTTCTGCAGAGTATTTGAGCATTCAATATATTACTCTTATTTAGGCTTCTCTCTAAATCATGCATGGACATCTACCCTTGTTTCAGTGGTTGGTCATTCTATTGCTTCCATTCTTTTCAAATTTCTTGTATCCTTGCTTATTTTTTGGATGTTAGTGGATGCAGACGAGCTTGACGGGTTCAGTTAGTTTATTGGCCATGCCAGTTGGGATAAAGCAGAAAGAACTGGTGAACCAAATTATCCAGAAGGTATTTGCTTTACTTGATTGCTTATGGAAAGTAAATTTCTTCTTTGGTGCTTAATTTTGGTGCTTGCCTTGTGCCACACTTTTTTTAGGATGTAGTATTCCTTCCTTCAAGTGTCTCTTCATATAAGTCTGATAATACTATTATAAATTTTGCCATTGCAGTTTCTGGAAGACAACTTTGTTGTCATCCTTTTTCATTATGATGCTATTGTTGATAAGTGGAATGATCTGGAATGGAGTAACCGTGTCATACATATCTCTGCCTTGAATCAGACAAAGTGGTAATCACCCATCAGAATAATCATTCTTTATGCAGTGTAGCATAGGTTTCAGCATATTTTCTAGTAGTTTGAAACTGTTGATGACGGCACAGGTGGTTTGCGAAGCGTTTCCTTCATCCAGATATAGTTTCTGAGTATGAGTACATCTTCTTGTGGGATGAGGACCTTGGAGTTGAAAACTTTCATCCTGGAAGGTATTGTAACTGCCCTTAATAGCTAAATGTTCTGGTTGCATTCGTTTTGAGAATACTGTTTCAAGTGAATTGATTGACGCAATATAAATGGTAAAGTTTGTTAATCTTACATTGAAAATGGAGATCAAAACATAATACTGTCTGCAGAAGGTTCATCTTTTCAGAATAAGTTATCTTTGTTGTTCTAAATAAATGCATGCCTCCATCCTGGTTGATACATTTTCATTTATCAGCTGGCTTGACCCCTGTAAACTTTCTGTAAATGAAATTGCAAACGCAACATAGTGTTCTGCATACACAGAGGATGATTTTGGACCTCCATGGAAGTGAGTGAATTCACAGATTTTTTTCTATTCAGGTACGTGTCAATAGTTAAAGAGGAAGGTCTTGAAATATCTCAACCTGCACTGGATCCTGCTAAGTCCCGGGTTCATCAGCAGATCACCTTGCGGAATAGATACTCAAGAGTGCACAGGTTGGTTGCTTTAAAGTTTACCCAGCTGAAAATTAAAAATGTTTGGATAAGTAATTTGCATGGAAAATCTGATTGATAAGTTACTCTGGACCTAATAAATTGTTCAGATTACTGGAATTATATGTTTCTGTAACTAAGAGGTGTGGAGTGTGTATCTCAAAGTGACATCTTTCAAGGGCACTTTTGTTCTTCTAGTTGGTGACCGAATGAGCAAGGCGCAGCAATGTTACTTTTGAAAGCTCGAAGTCCTTTTACTTTAGGTTTTAGATGCTTACTTGCAACATACTTCTTTTGGTTGTTCGTATTCACTTTTTAATTGTATGCAAGTGTGTGCTACGATTGTGGGTTTGAAATTGCATTGTATGTGAATTTGGTTTTCTCACCATGTTTATTTGTTAGCTGAGATTTAGCTTTGTTCTTCAAATAGGAGGTACTATAAATTAAGAGGTGGTGGAAGGTGTGATGAAAACAGCACAGCTCCTCCTTGTGTTGGGTATACTCTCTACAGCTCTTTGAACCTTTCAATTTTCTTGTTAGTGTCAGAAACTGACTGTTCTTTTCTTCTTTTATGTAGGTGGGTGGAAATGATGGCTCCTGTGTTCTCCAGAGCTGCCTGGCGCTGTACATGGTACATGATACAGGTATTAGAGTCTTATTCTTCAGTAAGAATGGGCAGACAATGATCTGTTTTCTAACAGAAGGTTTTGTGTTCAACAGAATGACTTGATCCATGCCTGGGGCTTGGATAGGCTGCTAGGATATTGTGCACAGGCAAGTTTATACTGATCATCTTAGATTATACGTTTGATTTTTTGCGGAGTGTTTGATGGTATTTTGTTCTACGACCATGTATCATAGGGTGATCGGACGGCAAAGGTTGGTGTGGTAGACGAGGAGTATATAGTCCACATGGGTCTTCCTACGCTGGGTGGTGTGTCAGGTGGAAACAAGGTTAGCATTCTTTTTCAGCCTTTGTGAGGCCAAAGGAAAAGGATTATTTGCTGCATATCGCCAGTGCCGTGAATGGAATAAGTAGTAATATCAGCTTTGATAACTTGCAACTGTTGTCTTTGTATCGCGTAGGTGGACAATGAAACTGTTGAGCATTCTTCACAACCACAGAAATTAGTAAATTCAGAATCACTGGTATGCAAATTTTAATCACGGATCAGTTCTATTACAATATTTTCACTTTTGTTTTCACTGAGACTGATATGTAAAAATTGCAGGAAACTGAAGAGGTGAAATCCGATAATAGATCAGCTGTAAGTCTACCAGCCTGACATTTCCCTATCTCAATAATTTTCTATTCATCCATCTCTACTCTTTCTTGTCTTTTTAACTCTCTTAACGTAACGTCTTCCTGTCGCCCATTCAGGTGAGAAAACAGTCCTACATTGAGATGGCAAAGTTCCAAAAACGGTGGAACAATGCGATCAAGAAGGATAAGTGTTGGGTTGATCCATATTCAGATCTTAAAAAGCAGGAAGGTCATTAGCCGAGTTTATCCGAACAACTCGATAATCAACATGGCTGCTGCAATGTTGATTTTTGTACAATATGGTACATACAGAGAACCATGTATACTAATTTTTTCAATACCATGTAAAGTCATAGAAAAATTAAAGATCCTCAGGATGGAAAAAAGAGTTTAGTGTTCAAGTACAGAAGAATATCAAAATAACTCAAAACTTTGCTGCTGATTCAAGTAAAACAGCAGAACAAAGTTTTTGTTTGTAGTTATACATCATTAGTTTTCTTTCTGAGTTGATGTTATAGGAGCAAAATTTTCTTTTCAGTTCTTTATGAAAATTATATACATAGGCAGTTAGGAACCATTTTGTATATTTGAGAACTCTTTTGGGGAAACATTGGAATGACTGAGTTTCCAGAAGCAGTTGCTATTTCTTTTCTTCTTTTTTTTTTTCCCTCTTAACAGTATGCATTTAGATTTTCTTGCTTTCCTTACATTGTTGGTCATGGAGTTGAAATAAATAGGCATTGTTCAGTTCTTGATGAGGCCCTGGAGTTTCAGGAGATCTATGCCATCAAAGTTCATGCTATACCAAATCAATCATGATACCAGTAGATCTATACTCCAGAACAAAAATACCTCTCTTACTGATGGAGGATTTTTATCTATAACTTGCAATGTCTATACATTCTGCTACCTAAGTTAAATGAAAAAATTGAGACCAAACTAGAAGCCTAAGCGAGCAAAACCTACAAAAAAGTTCTACATTCAAAAAGGCAAAGAAGAGAGTGGAAAATAAAACTCTCTATTATCTCACAAAAAATCAATACTCTCAAAATTGCATCACTTTGGAACTCAGGTTCAATAAAGGCTCCAAAGTATTCGGGGTAAACTTTCTCGCAAAGAGGTAACAAACATTTGTCATACTTTTTAAATTGTAGGAGCAAGCTGTGGCATTTTTCCTTAGTGATTGAAGAAAGCTTTCTGTCACATTTTCGGCAGAGAATGTCCCCGGATGTGGCGCAATGACAGACCAATCAACATAAGTCACTGTTCGGTTCGCATTCATAGAACCATAAAACATGTGAATAAAAGTAGGAAGGTAGTGCTCATCTGGATAGCAAGCAGGCCTGCAATATTTCTTGAAGATTGTGTAGTATTTTGTGTCTGCAACTATAACAGCAGCCAACTGACGGTTAAGTTCGAACCACTGGGACCCTTTCCTCCAATCTCCAAGTTTGATGTCTGGTCGCATTCGCCGGCTGTAACGACCCCGACCATAACGAGAAGGATCATCATAAGACTCAACAAAACTGTGTACAGATCGTGTGAGATACTTGTAGACGGTCGGAAAATTGTAAACAGGGATGCAGCTTTCAGAGAGAAGAACAAAACGTTCATTGGAGAAGTCAAGCAGAGCATTCGCTAACAACCGTTTTTCTGCATCAACAAGGGAAACTGATCCCCACTCAACATTCTGAGAAGGAAAAAGGAAATGATATTAGCAAACCACACAGAAAAAGCATTCTATAATACAGGAGAATCTATTGCAAATTAACAAGTTTTGAGCATCATAACTTCAGAAGTCCTATTCCAAATACAAGGAGAAAGATTGATTCAAGAATGCAGGCAGATCAATAGCATCATTGAAAGACACGATACAGCAAGTTTTAAAAAACTCACAACCTGCTAGATAATGCATGTTCTACAATAAGAGCACAAACACATACAGTTTCACAGTAGGGTTTCATCACATTTTCAACATTTCTAGTCAGCAACATTGTTCATCTGTGAAGACTGAAGGGTCTCGTGAATATATTTACTTGCCAATTTAACAGAGGACCGGAGGCGGCAACATGCCAAGCTATGCTTGGGTCCAATATTCAGTTTACAATTTTATGGTTAGATTGCATAAATGGGGCAGATTCCACATGAAGTCCACCTCAGACTGAACAAAATGAAAGAGCTAATCCGTATTTAGCAAAATTTGAGCCAAGATACCGCAGTGACATGAAGAAATTATGCTCATGAATCAATCATCTTGGCGAAGGCCTAGGTATTGGCACTAAAAATGGTAGACAAGTTTCCTTCCTTGTACATCTACTCAACCAATACCCATCTTATGAATGTGTTTACCAATAGCGGATCCCAACTCATCACTTTTCCAGGTAATGAAGGGTCATTTCCTTCAAAATGTTACCATCGTTGGTTGTTGACAAACTTTTTCCACAGTCCATCAGGTCTTCCAGGACTCAAATTGCTAAGGTCAGGTCCTGAACAAATACATTTTTGCAGTTCATTAGGTTGCCCACTCCTGGATGCAATCTCAAACTTAAACAACTTTCTATTCTGACATGTTCCTTATCTCCTGCATCAATGGCAGATACCACCAAAAATATGCACGGGCTTAGTCCAGTGATGACATTCTGCCAACCACATCATTTTATTGCTTCTGTCATACGTTTCCCAGGCTCCAACATTGAGAGGTAATCTCTCCACAATCCTAGTAATTATTGGAAGATCCTTTCCCAATCAGAAATCAAATGTATCCCCGCATATTGGATCTACTTCTTGGGACGTATGCTACATCATAAACGCCCCCCCCCCCCCCCCCAAAAACAACACCATTATTGATACATCTTGATAACCAGAAGCAGGGCCCGAAACAACTTACTTATCTGAGAAAAAAACTGCAGTGACAAGCAAGTCCCAGTAGTTTACACTTCTTCATGGTTCTACCAACTTTCCAAACATAAGTTTCATGGTCTTACTAACTTATCTCAAGAATATAAAGCAATGCACATTGAAAGTATCTATTAACACCTACATCATGAATGCGGGTATGCTACTATATAACTCAGCACATCCATGTCCAAGTAAGAATATTGAAACCAAGCACGGGATTTAATCGGTTAACTCTTGAATCTCAAAATATCTCCACTTCTGAAGAAGGCAAAAAGTTAATACTATAGTTCAAGTGACCATTTCGTACAATGATCACTAACTGCTGATGAAACCACCAACTGATTCATTCTACCCCATATCACTAAAAATTTGACTATACTAAGTGCATTCCAATAACGCATGTACTTGTATAATAGTAACTCAAGCAACTGGTGAATCTGCTGGAATATTTTATGAAGCTTGTTTACACCAGAATCAAATCAGTCTAGTGTTAAAAGTTCAAAACAGTTTACAAACCAAGTGATATACAGTAAGAGTTATCACAGGCTACTCTGTCATTTTCTGATATTTAGTTTTCAGATCACACTTGAATTTATTATTTACTTACTGTTTTTTTGTCACTGCTTGGTTAGCAGGGTATCACGGTCTCTAACTAGATTTCACCATTGAGAAAAAGACTGCTACAACATGCTTAGCTGAAATGATGTAAAATTTCTAGAGTAACATGACAGGCCATTGCTACCCATTCTAGGTCTTCTAAGTTCTAATCATAATATGCCCAGATGATATAGCTCCTACTCAGTTAATCTGCATACTACACAGCTTTGATGTAAAAGAGTTACTACTAAAGGATGCTTCCACACTACAAAATAAGCAAATAATTGAAAACCAAATTTCACAAACAAGTGGGGAAAAAAAAACACCAACAACAAAAAAAGAAGGCATGTTTCAGAACTAAGCTACCTTGCTCGGAATCTGTCGTCCGTAGAAAACAGATGAACTGGTCACGTTGAGCACATACCCCGGCAAGGCGTGCACGTAAATCGAGTATTTATTCACATCTTGTCCTTGAAAAAACCTTTCCCAAAGAGGCAAGAGGGGCAATGGCCCTCTAGTCATGAACATGAATGCAACCTTAGGAACTCTATCAAATGGATACTCAACTTTCTGGGGCACCAAAGAAGCCCTCCAAAACAGTTCCTCATCTGACAGACCATGAGTCAAATTCTTCGGACTGATGAAGCTTTTCAGGCTCAAACAGTCCTCTTTTTCACAATTATTCACCACAATTGTGCAATTTGTATCACTACTAGACACTACAGCCCTACTGGGAAAGAATTGATCTGCGGTAAAATACCTACCAATGTGGGAACTTGAGGCCAGTCCAATGACCACCCCGACAACAAAAACGATCAAAATTGAAAGCATCCTAAATAGACTTAGCGATGAATCTCTTACAGAAGTAGACACCAGCGGCCTGCTCTCCATTTCCTCTTTCTCTCCTCTGTTCTTCGGCATCGCCATTATTCTTCACTAATCCTCTTTTTTTGCCCCCTTTCTTCCGCTTTCAGTCCTTCACTGGCCCCCAACTAGATGCAGACCATAAATTCACAGGAGTTCTTATGGTTACAAAAGGGAATTCTCAAAGGTGAGCATAAGAACCAGTGATCTCGCAAAGTATGAAATTTGAACAGTTTTTTGAGTTCAAAAAAGCCAATCTTTTCCAGGATTTTAGAGGGAAACTTTTTGGTGGGTTCGATTAGAGGAATCTAGGAAGAGGGGAAAGAGGGCGATCAATGGTGTCACGCAGCAGCCACAGAATCAGTGAATTCTGAGTGAGACGAAAGATGCTAAAAAAGGAAGAGCATTTTGAGGTTTTGAGTTCATGGGGGTTGGAAAAATTCACTGATGAATGTTGCACAAAGGCACAGTTTTGGTTCTGGAAGCAATTAGCTGTGTTTAAGATTTTATTAACCTAGTACTTTCCAAAAATATTAACTTGGTTTAGTTAATTTTTAAAAGATTTTGAACTTTGACTATGTGATAAAACTTGACCTACTTCTGGCATTTGCTAAGCATGTTCTCCTTAGAATTTAAACCTAAACTTCAACATTTAATACGAATGTGATATGCGTATACATATTTCCCTTATTAACAAATTTATTATCAAAGTTTGACGGCTAAAAAAAGTGTGGTACCTCCTCAGATCGTAACTATAAGACACAAATTTAAATAACTATTAATTTTTTGTATTATAATTAGGATTAGGGGGAGTATTAGTTAGCAAAATAATTAACAATATTCACTTGAGATTTTTTATATGACATACTTGAACTTGCATATGATGTATGAGGCTCCCTTCTAAGCTTGATAAAATGGGTCAATATCTCCGGCTTTTCCGATAAGAAATAAGCAAATTTTAGAAAAGTCTTAAGCAAAAGATAGTGATTTTTGCTTCTTTTTTTTTTCCCCCATTTTTAAAAAACCAATATATCCTGAAGTCAAGTCAGTAGAGCTCATTGATTGTTGGACCAACCAAAAACAATTCTAATCTAACATAAATGCCAGCTTCAGTGATATCTGAAGAAAATAAATTACGAAAGAGTTTGAACTTTGAAGCGTTTACGGTCTTGCTATAAGGTATTCAAGCAAGTGGTTTGTGTTTGGTTGTTTTGTCCCACATCGGCTGAGGGAAGTAGAGGAAGGGAATTGATGGGTAATTTAAGCGGAAGGTGGAGAACTGAGCTACATACTTACCTGGACGGGGTCAATGGGCGATCAAGAAGGTCCATGGCCTAGGTTGGTGACCTCCATCGCACTTGGGAGGGGTGCCCGCCTAAGGTCTACCCAAATGGGTGGAGCCTACGTCATAATTTGTGGTAGTGGGGGCCTGCGTTCGCGCGGCCCCTATCCAATTTAGTAACAAATTTTCTGGTTTAAGGCCTGATAATGTAAAGCCCCGTCTGGCTTCAAAATGTACACCTTCACTTATGAAAGGTAAAATGCGATGGCGGGCAGCCTCACTCGTTCAATCAATATTGGCGGCTGTTCTAGTCAACTTTATGCAGTCTACATAGCTACCAAAATGAATCGTCCACAAAATAAGAAGGCTTTTCCTCTGGGGTTCTAAGCAAGGGGAAAAGAAAATGAATCTTGTCAATTGGGAGACAGTATGTCAACCGAAAAAAAGAGTAGGCCTTTGGGTTCGTAAGTTGAGGGAAGCAAATACAGCTTTCATTCTAAAATTTGCATGGGGTATCATCAGTGTTGTTAGACTAGGCTCGGACATCGACTCGGCAAGGTTAAGGGTCAGGGTTTTAGGGGTCGATTAGGGTCGACTCGGTTTTAGGGGTTGATTAGGGTCGACTCGGATAACGTCATTATGATGTAATAATTAATATATGATTATTATATATATTAATAATTAAAAAATTAATATTTATGCATCTTTTTTATCATAATAGTCAAGCAATATTATTTTAAAGCAATGATAATAGTCAATAATATTATTTTAAAGCATTTAACTATATTTTAAAATAAGTATATTAGTTTAACAATTAATAAATTAATTATTAGTAATTAAAATTTATAAATTTACAAGATAATCAACTTTTTGTATTAATAAGAAGGAATCACATAAAAATTAATTTCAACATATTTGAGATGTATTTAAAATTTTGAGTAAAATAATGGAGGTTTATATGTGAGAAAAATAATAAAAGAATGTTTCTTTAAAAAATAGTGTGTTCAATAATTTGGAGTCAAAAGTTTAGGACTAAAATGACAAAATTAATTCTTTGAAGAAAAGTTATTGGGTTATTTAAGAACAAAAAGTAAACTTTTGGACCAAAAAAGAGAAAGAAAGAGACGGAATCCAAGGAAAAAAGTCAAAAAGTGATCAGATAAGGCAAAAAAGCAAAAACTTCGGGTCGACCTAGGTCTGACCGATTCTCGATTCGATTGGAGTTTTAACTGGTTTTAACCGAGTTTGAAAATGGAGAGTTTTTAAGTAATTCGGCTCGGACTAAGGTCCGATCCCAAGTTAACCGGTTGACCCGACCGATCCGAACCGAGTTTATTAACACTGGGTATCATAGCAGGTAGTAACTGTCTTTGGAGGTTTGGAAACGAGATTCCAAGAGTCATTAAGGTCAAAAATGGCTCCCCGTTGTGGAAACAAATTTCTCTAGTTTCGCAAGCTCTAAAAGGTATCAAGTGGGTTGTTGATGATGGAAAATCAATCAAATTTTGGAAGAACAATTGGCTTGATATTTACAGACCACTTCACGTCCTAGCTTCTTCCCCTATTAATGCTGCTCAACTAGAAAAGAAACTTGAAGACTATGTGAGCTCTACAGGGGACTGGAACTGGGGGACTTTTCCATCCCTCCTTTCAGCAGATATCCTCCAGAAAATCACTGTCATACCACCTCCATCGTCGAACCTTGGGCCAGATTTTCCAACCTGGCGATGGTCATCAAATGGAAAGTTTACTACTTCAGCTTACAGCAGCATCCACGCCTCCAAGTAGAACCCTGAACATAAAATTTGGGATCTAATATGGAAATGGGAAGGTCCGGAGAGAGTTAAAACCTTCCTTTGGATGTTGTTTAAAGGGGTTCTTCTCACCAACGTGGAAAGGAAAATCAGACACTTGTCTTATGATGATCGATGTCACCTGTGTGGAAAAGCAGAGACTCTGTTTCACTTGTTCAGAGACTGTAACAGAAGCCGTGAAATGTAGAAAAGTGGTAGCCCGAATCTAAGAAGTATTTTCTGGGTGGAAACTAATTGGCTCAATTGGGTTTTCTCTAACCTCAATTCTTCTTTTTTGCAGAATGGCATTAAATGGCCTATCTGGTTTGGGATAAGTTGCTGGAAAATTTGGAAAGAACGAAATGAGGAAGTCTTTGGGGACCTTGCTATTAGCAACAGAGAACTTATAGGCTCAACTAACGCCCTTGTCAAAGAAATATCAAGGTCCAATTTTATTTTTGCTCACAGATTGGACTGCCATAAAAAGCCTCCACACTCTTCGACATGGAGACCTCCCTCACATGGATGGATAAAACTTAACAGTGATGGAGCTGCAAGCATGATTTCCAAGCAAGCGGCAGCAGGAGGCCTGCTACGAAATCATGATGGAGACTGGATCATCGGATTCGTGGCCGACTTGGGGGACTGCTGCAGCTTAGAAGCAGAACTATGGGGTGTTTTTCTTGACTCCAAATTGCGTAGTAGTTGGGCTTTAGAAAGATAGTCTTGTAGATGGCTCTGAAGCGGGTGAACCTCCTCAAAAGACAACAAACTTCCCACGATAACTCAAGTAATATTCTAAGAAGAATCCTACTTATTCTTAAGAACCAGTGGACTGTGGTCTTTTTGCACAACCACAGAAATAGAAACGAACCAGCAGATTCGTTAGCTAAGTTAGGGTTTTCTTTTCCTTCGGAGAAACACATCTTGTCAATACTCCCGAACTCTTTATTAGTTTCTCTAGAATTAGACAAGGCTTCTTTTGTATCCCCTCGCCGGGATGTGTAACCTAAGCCTATGGCTCCCTTCATATATTAAAAAAAAAGAAAGTAAAATGTGAAAGAAAATAGTTGACTTTCTATATTATAAGCGAAATTTAGGGATTCTAGAAAATGATTCGCATTATATTGTAATACGACCCCAAACAAAGTAAATATCTGTACTAAATGTTACACCATGTGCGGGCTAGATTATTTTATAAATTACTTAAAAAGTATTTTAAAAAATGCCAAATATTGAATCATAATTTGTGATATAATAATTACTGAAAATTTGAATAATCATGAATGTAATGACATGATCAATGAAGAAGAATGTCTTTTTGACACTATGAATGTGCTCAGTTAAATTAAAAAAATAAAAAATCATTGTATTATACAAATTTGTCAAAAATATTTCTTGATATCAAAAGAATTACGATATTTATTTATTATAACAAAAAAAATACTAATTTATAATTTTTTATTACCAAAGCAATTGGAACATTCCATATAATATGCTAAAGTATGCCAATTTATCTTTTGCAAAGTGAAACATGGATAACAATACCGGAAATACCGGAAGATTCTTTGAAAACCATATCAGAAGATTATACTAAATATGCAATAACATTATCTCAAAGTGAACCCATTATATAAAGAATACTCACTTTTCTATGAATAAATCTAAATATCCATATCAATCGCTTAGTTTATAAGGGTCTGGACTTTAGAGGTGGTCATGGATGATGTTAGCAGCGGTGAAAGTATTTTCGAAAAACTTTGAATAAAAAATTAGTAATATGCTCTTTAGTTATTGTAACATTTTACGTGCTACCAAAGGCTGGAGTAACATAATACCATATGTAAAAAGTTATGTTTTAATCAAACTTTGATAATTTATAGAAAATTTAAAAAGAAACCAAAATCCGAATATTAATCTAAAAGAGAAAAAGGAAAGAATTTACTAATTCATGTTGTCTTTCTTTAAGCATATAGACACACATGTGTATATGATTTCCTATGCACCACCTCGAAAAAAAAAAAGAAAAAGGAACAGAGAAAAGCAAATAAAAAAAAAAGACTTTATTTTGTAACAAAATTACATTTCTCTTCGTATAATTGGATGGATATGGCGTTCTTTATGCCAGATTCACACTCACAAAAAGGGGAAAAATATGAAGAAGAGTAAGAAAGAAAAACCAACAAACAAACTCATGCGTCCTTATTTCAGCATAGAGCCCCTCTTTTTCAATCTGCAATATGCAACAAAACATAATTTGGTTAGAACAATAACAACTAAAACGATGGCGGCTGAAAATCTTAATTTCCGAATAGAGAAAGTGTTTTTCCTGGTAACTTGGATGTTATATGTGTATATATAATTAATAGTTTTTAAATGGTCGGATAGGTTTGTTTTATTAATGGTTTGATTTTAAAATTTTATTGCAACTAAATACGTAGGTATCCATTATTTTTTTAACATGATTTCAAATTTGAATCCCATAATTTATTTAGAGAGATTTTAGAGATATGATTTACTACTTATCAATAATTAATTAGTCAATTAACTAATTTGATTTAAAATACTTAAACTTATGAAAATTAATCTCATAATGAAAGTAAAAAATTATGTAAAGTAATAAGACATTTAATTTTCATAATAAAAAATTTCAAATTTTAAAATTCATTATGAGCCGAAATTTTGTAGGAATTTGAATGGATTTTTTTTTTTTTTGAAACGTT